AAATATATCTACTTCTTTGACCAATAATTTACTTGAACGTCAATTGTTGACCATCAGTTAAAAAAATTATGCTTGCGATTGAGATGGATATTCTGTGAGGATTGGATAGAGAGTTTGAAAACCTGTGATCCAAATCCAATGATTTTCAAATGCTAATGATTTAGAGTTTATTTATCAACATGCCACTAACCCCTTTGCATTGAACTATTTAATGAGCCTATGCTTTGGAGACAATGGAAAAAGAATGTGTTTGTAGGGTTTGTTTCATATAATGGTGTTTGAAGTAGGATTATTGTTGTTTTATACATTTGAAGGTGAGACCTCTGCAGGCACCTGGAAATCCAAGAGATAAGACTTGAAGATGCTGAAGAACTCATTGGCCTTCTCCGCACAGAAAGCATGCCCCGCCTTCTTAATGACAACTAGTTGAGCATTGTCCCCTAAATGCCTGCAATCCAAATCCAATGAGTTCTAAATTCAAAACTGATGCTAACAACTACAATGAGAGTGTTATAAACCTTTTCAATCTGTGTCCCAGTTCTAAAGGAAATACTTGATCATGTTCTCCCCAGATTATTAATGTAGGCTGCATGCAAAATTAAATGAAGCCTTTTAATGTAACTACTAGCACAAAGAGACAGACTGCTGCCAACACACTCTTCTTGATCTAAATCTATTCAAAACACAAAATCATGAGTGAAGTACATTAAGAGGAGATTTAGCGACAACATACTGTTTTAGTATACCTCTACTATTATTTATAACTTTTTAATTAAAGATATAAAATTAAGAGAGTAATCAGATTGTAATTTGCAATAAATTATAGCTAACAATAACAGAGAGTAAGTTCAAATAATGTGTTGTTAACATTTATCAGTTTATAATAGGAAGAAAAGTTATCCAGTTAAGAGGAAAGTTAAATGAACCTGAGATATCTTGGGGATGTCAGAAAGTTTTCGGTCCTTTACAAGGGCTTTGATGAGTTCTCTCTTTTCTTGTTCATAGTCCCTGCACATTGTCTACCCAAAATCACCAATTTAAGCCCACTCTGGCTCCTTTACATTCACAAATATACACCGTAACATTCTAGTTAGTTAAAATGGCAGTTGAAACATCATCTATTTTAAACCATTACATACACAACAACAACAACAGACTATTCTTTCTCTTTTAAGTAAGCTTGAAGTCACGTTGCTAGACTAATCCACTTATAACAGCCAAAACTAAACCGGTAACTTATATAAACAACCTTTAGAACAGAAACAAACTAATAAAAATAGTATTACATCCTTCACTATGATAAATTAATCCAATTGCCAAGTAATCACTCTTAACTCATGACCAAAAAGGGTGGCCAAGTATAAATTAAGCACACAAGAATTTATAAAAATAAATCAAATGTATGATAAAACTTTTATACTGCGTTGCATATCGCTCGAACTAGTCTATCAACCTGCCCTACTATCTACTGTCAAATTAGAAAGGGTTAAATATCTCTCTTTCAAGCTTGAACACGCCTCACAAATTATGTGTCCTGGTGTGCAACACCTATGTCGGACACCAATATGCTTACAATACTAATACGATACATATCGTTGAAATGTCAAATTGAAAGATTTTTTTTTTTTTTGTCTTTAACACAATCTTAGAAAAGAAAAATACCATGATTTTCTAAAAATCCAAAAACCTATAAATTTATTATATAAGTTTCTATTATAATTGTAGAAACAAATAACAAATCTTATATCCTCACTACTTTCGACTTTTTGGATATTAAATAGATGGATTAGATTCGTTTTTCATTTGGTGATAATATGTCTAGCTCTTTTTAAATTTTGATACATTTTTTTCTTTAAATTTTAAAAATGAATCAATAATGTTTTTATAGTTTTTTATACTAACATTTGAACTTAAACATATCAGAGAGTATAAATAACTTAAATGTTAATTTAAAATATCATTTGATATGTTAAAAATATTTAACACAATTAAATTAAAATAGCTATATTTACTCATTTTAAAAATTTGAAAACTAAATTATATCCAAGTTTAGGATAGAAATGAATTCCAGCCTAAAAATGTGAAAACTTAAAAACTAAAAATATATTTAACGATAGAAATAATGATGATGACGGAAGAATCAGCCTACTACTGCTACAAAACTAAACCAGCCCAGATTGAGATATGCATATCAAGAACAAAAACCAAGTAAATAACAGTCACCTACATAATCGAAACTACAATAAATTAGCTAAATTGATTAAGTACCGTACAAGTCAAAACTTGGAAGTGACTAAGAGAGGAAGGTTAGATTTCCAAAGACACTGCCAAAAGCTCTAATCACATAGTTGTATTATTCATACACTAATGTCTTTCAACATTTTTTACCATATTGTTTCTGTTTTCTCTTCGTCTCATCTCTCATCAAGTAACCAATCATATGTACAGAAATCTATAATATTTATCATTTTTTTTATTTATTTCTTTTAATCAAAAAATATTACACATAGTTTTCTCTCACTTTTCTCTGCTTGTCTTTTATTAAATTAAAATATCAATGGACACCCAAATGCTATTCAAACACTTTAGAGAAAGAAAGCCGAAAATAGAAGTGTAAATATGAAGGTGANTACATTTAATGAATGCACAACGGTTAAAAACTTACTTAAAAATTCTCATAATTGCTCGTGATAATCAATTACTGATAATCGATTATTATAAGTTGATAATCGATTAACTTAAGTATAAAATGAGATTTTCTGATTCAAAACGAACTTTAACGCAACTTAAAGCAAACAATACATAGAATCAAAGCTAAACCACATCCTATATATAAATATACTAAATTACAAAACATTTTAACACAAAACAAGTCGTCACGAAAATCTTCTTGCAACAAAAGCACTTGAGACTTGATTTTGAGACATCATCAAAACTTCTCTTCAACTTTATACTAACATAAAGGTTAAGTCAAAACTTTTTTTAAAATTGTTCTTTATATTCCAATTTTATAAAGCATATATGTCAGTTAAAAGTGTATCATATTGAAAGGATTTAAACATATATTGCCATTTCTTTATTTCCTAAAAAAATAAAGCCTCAAGGTCAACTTTAACGTCTCTTTATTTTTAAGAGATAAGATGTAGTTATAACACACTCAATAATATCAAGAAGAGTCATGCAAAATGTCAGATTGGAGAGCTTGTTTGTGGAGAATTATGAAATCTTTTAGCTTTTTGGAGGATGCAAAAAAGAGTAATATTTAGGAAGAAGGAATGAATGCAAATGCATAGAATTACAATTACTTGTACACTTTTTTTCCATCAAATTGAATACTTAGATAGTCCCTTTGAAACGCTTGGTTGGCTACAGCTTGTAGCATTTACTTTTGTGTCAACAACAACTTAATCCTCACACTCTTGATGGGTTTGGTGGAGCATTACGCAATGAAGATCAATTATGTTTTTGAATAAATAGTCTCTTTGCAATTCCCTCTTATTAATTAATGATTACACCGTTGAAATTTTATTAAATTTTAAAAACTAAACATAATTAAAAGTTTGAAAATTTGAGACATCAGAGTGTTCATAGTCTAAATATAGCAAACACGAATAAATATATCTACTTCTTTGACCAATAATTTACTTGAACGTCAATTGTTGACCATCAGTTAAAAAAATTATGCTTGCGATTGAGATGGATATTCTGTGAGGATTGGATAGAGAGTTTGAAAACCTGTGATCCAAATCCAATGATTTTCAAATGCTAATGATTTAGAGTTTATTTATCAACATGCCACTAACCCCTTTGCATTGAACTATTTAATGAGCCTATGCTTTGGAGACAATGGAAAAAGAATGTGTTTGTAGGGTTTGTTTCATATAATGGTGTTTGAAGTAGGATTATTGTTGTTTTATACATTTGAAGGTGAGACCTCTGCAGGCACCTGGAAATCCAAGAGATAAGACTTGAAGATGCTGAAGAACTCATTGGCCTTCTCCGCACAGAAAGCATGCCCCGCCTTCTTAATGACAACTAGTTGAGCATTGTCCCCTAAATGCCTGCAATCCAAATCCAATGAGTTCTAAATTCAAAACTGATGCTAACAACTACAATGAGAGTGTTATAAACCTTTTCAATCTGTGTCCCAGTTCTAAAGGAAATACTTGATCATGTTCTCCCCAGATTATTAATGTAGGCTGCATGCAAAATTAAATGAAGCCTTTTAATGTAACTACTAGCACAAAGAGACAGACTGCTGCCAACACACTCTTCTTGATCTAAATCTATTCAAAACACAAAATCATGAGTGAAGTACATTAAGAGGAGAATTAGCGACAACATACTGTTTTAGTATACCTCTACTATTATTTATAACTTTTTAATTAAAGATATAAAATTAAGAGAGTAATCAGATTGTAATTTGCAATAAATTATAGCTAACAATAACAGAGAGTAAGTTCAAATAATGTGTTGTTAACATTTATCAGTTTATAATAGGAAGAAAAGTTATCCAGTTAAGAGGAAAGTTAAATGAACCTGAGATATCTTGGGGATGTCAGAAAGTTTTCGGTCCTTTACAAGGGCTTTGATGAGTTCTCTCTTTTCTTGTTCATAGTCCCTGCACATTGTCTACCCAAAATCACCAATTTAAGCCCACTCTGGCTCCTTTACATTCACAAATATACACCGTAACATTCTAGTTAGTTAAAATGGCAGTTGAAACATCATCTATTTTAAACCATTACATACACAACAACAACAACAGACTATTCTTTCTCTTTTAAGTAAGCTTGAAGTCACGTTGCTAGACTAATCCACTTATAACAGCCAAAACTAAACCGGTAACTTATATAAACAACCTTTAGAACAGAAACAAACTAATAAAAATAGTATTACATCCTTCACTATGATAAATTAATCCAATTGCCAAGTAATCACTCTTAACTCATGACCAAAAAGGGTGGCCAAGTATAAATTAAGCACACAAGAATTTATAAAAATAAATCAAATGTATGATAAAACTTTTATACTGCGTTGCATATCGCTCGAACTAGTCTATCAACCTGCCCTACTATCTACTGTCAAATTAGAAAGGGTTAAATATCTCTCTTTCAAGCTTGAACACGCCTCACAAATTATGTGTCCTGGTGTGCAACACCTATGTCGGACACCAATATGCTTACAATACTAATACGATACATATCGTTGAAATGTCAAATTGAAAGATTTTTTTTTTTTTTGTCTTTAACACAATCTTAGAAAAGAAAAATACCATGATTTTCTAAAAATCCAAAAACCTATAAATTTATTATATAAGTTTCTATTATAATTGTAGAAACAAATAACAAATCTTATATCCTCACTACTTTCGACTTTTTGGATATTAAATAGATGGATTAGATTCGTTTTTCATTTGGTGATAATATGTCTAGCTCTTTTTAAATTTTGATACATTTTTTTCTTTAAATTTTAAAAATGAATCAATAATGTTTTTATAGTTTTTTATACTAACATTTGAACTTAAACATATCAGAGAGTATAAATAACTTAAATGTTAATTTAAAATATCATTTGATATGTTAAAAATATTTAACACAATTAAATTAAAATAGCTATATTTACTCATTTTAAAAATTTGAAAACTAAATTATATCCAAGTTTAGGATAGAAATGAATTCCAGCCTAAAAATGTGAAAACTTAAAAACTAAAAATATATTTAACGATAGAAATAATGATGATGACGGAAGAATCAGCCTACTACTGCTACAAAACTAAACCAGCCCAGATTGAGATATGCATATCAAGAACAAAAACCAAGTAAATAACAGTCACCTACATAATCGAAACTACAATAAATTAGCTAAATTGATTAAGTACCGTACAAGTCAAAACTTGGAAGTGACTAAGAGAGGAAGGTTAGATTTCCAAAGACACTGCCAAAAGCTCTAATCACATAGTTGTATTATTCATACACTAATGTCTTTCAACATTTTTTACCATATTGTTTCTGTTTTCTCTTCGTCTCATCTCTCATCAAGTAACCAATCATATGTACAGAAATCTATAATATTTATCATTTTTTTTATTTATTTCTTTTAATCAAAAAATATTACACATAGTTTTCTCTCACTTTTCTCTGCTTGTCTTTTATTAAATTAAAATATCAATGGACACCCAAATGCTATTCAAACACTTTAGAGAAAGAAAGCCGAAAATAGAAGTGTAAATATGAAGGTGAAATGAAAGAACTGAAAAAAAAAAGAGTATAAATATTGATAAAAGTGTTTAAATATAAAGTTATACATATTTATTACTATTCTATCACACACTCTTTTGGTTATGCTTCTTATCTCTCACTTCTTTACATAAAATTTCAAAATTAAAGTACGACAATATTTTCATCTACTTTCGTAAGATTGGCCCTTTTAACAAACAAAAAGCCTGTGAGGCTGTATAAGACAAAAAGTATAATAGAACTAAAGTTTCTTTTCCCTGTTTTCCAATCAAAATTTAAATTATCAAAAAACGTTCAACTGTAAGACGTAAACTATCAATCAAGAGAGATATCTATATAATTAGGGAAAGAACAACACCGAAAGTACCAAACTATTCCATTTTCTT